CCTCTTCTTTTGTGGTAAAAAACATGGTGGAAAATATGTGTTACTCCGTAAAATCTTAGCATTTGTAGTTCGTGTGTTTATATTATTGTTTGACTTACTTTTAGTTTTTGTCCTTGGTTTTCCTCCATGGGAAAAGGTTAGATGAGAATGTTTTTCAATCAAATAAATAAAATAAATAATAATTACATGATATAATACATCTAACGATCAAGAATGAACCAAAATTACACATTAATAAGTGACATAATGAACATTTTCCTCACTCTTACGCAGTGGCGCATTGAACATTAAATAGAAATGTTACATTTGAGTCCATAAATTTGCACTATACATTGATATATTTTTACAGTTTTTACTAATACAAAAATGTTCACAATTGATACCAAAATAGTACTTATGAATGCATAGTATAATTGTTCCAACATTACTAATAAAATAAATTGTCAAAAAACTAAACCAAATGGTGAATAATGTCATCATACTTTGTTGATTATGTGAATGCACATGAATGACTGTGCACTTTTTACTTAAAATTTGACCGCTTGACCAAATCAGAAACATTATTAACTTAATCTAATCCGACGACAGTTATAATTTATTTATATTTTTTTCTCTTTATTTTTTTCTCGTTTGATCATACTACTATAATTTAGAATAATAGTGAGAAGGAAGAACCTTGTTCTAGTATTCATAAATATCATCCGCTACTTAAAAAATGTCGTTTTTGGGAAAAATTAATTAAAAGTACTAATAATTTATATATATATAAATATAAAATGTCTTAAAATGTCATTTAACATGTCAAATGAATTCACACTCCTTAGTTTTAGTTTTCGAAGACTGAATTAGTGAATTATTACCCTACAACGTAACCAGATCATAAAAAATGCCATTCAATTAGATCAAATTGAATTGGTATTAATATTCATTAGTAATTAACGTTTAGCTCAAAAGCATATATGTTGAACAGTAATTACTCGCATTAAAAGGATATGTATAAAATGAAGTTTAAACTAATTTACGTATCATTATAAGCTATAACGTATATGCCATTATTTGAGCTTAATGTTCGCTACAATATTTAAAGACAAGGTTTTGCATTTTATGAGTGATAAGTTATACCAACTCCATTACCAAATAAGCGTTTTTGTTAAAGTAATCTCGCTACCTCGTCGGAATGTGAGTTGTGCGGTAGGACTGAATCTACCCTTCACGTTTTGCGGGATTGCCCGATCACCAAGAGCTTGTGGTGTCGTCTACTCCCAGCCAGATATGCGGACGGCTTTTTCCAACAACAACTTCGACTATGGCTATGGAATAATTTGAGACGGGAGCTGATGAGCAACGATAAGAATTGGAGCAGCACATTTGCGTTTGGTGTTTGGTATTCTTGGCAGTGGCGGAATGAAGGTATCTTTGCTAACTGGTTGATAGGTTGCGAGGCACGGTATTTGGAAGTTCTACGTAAATCGAACTTGTACAAGAAGGCAGCCGCTGCTTACGCTAAGGCGGGAGCGACTATGTATTCTTTACGCATGATCCAGTGGCTACCGCCGGGCACGGGCTGGGTAAAAGTGAACACTGACGGGTCCCTTAATCGTTCTACTGGCCTGTGTAGCGCGGGAGAATTAATTCGCAATGAGAATGGAAAATGGATCGAGGGTTTTTTCATGAATATTGGAATTTGCACCATCATTGGGGCCGAATTATGGGGATTGTTTCAGGGCCTACAGATGGCCTGGGATTTGGGGTTTCGAAAGGTAGTAGCGGAAGTCGACAATCAATGTGTGCCGAAAATGATCTTTGGGCCAGAAGTCAACTTTGGAGCCAACGTGTCACTGGTCAAGGGCATTAAGAGTTTGGTGGAAAGAGATTGAGATATTCGGATTCAGCACGTGCACAGGGAAGCGAACTTTGCAGCAGATCATATGGCGGAACTAGCGGCTTCTTCCATGCTAGGCTTGCAAAAGATCCTGTCACCTCCTCCAGGAATGGAAGCATGGATAGACCATGATGTCCATAGGGTGGCCTACCCATGTCGCGTTCTAGTATAGAAATCTCGGGCTTCTGGCCTCCATCTATGTACCAAATAAATAAATAAATAAATAATTTATTATTATCTACGAAAAAAATAATAATTATTATTAGTCGCATCAAAATGAGTACTGTGGAGGTGTATTCATTATGAATTCTTCCTTTCATTTATTATTATTATTATTATTATTATTAT